CTCTCTCTCTCTCTCTCTCTCTCTCTCTCTCTCTCTCATACACACACACCTTCTTTACTTGCCTGGTTAACTTTTATTAGCCTATTTGATATTTGACCTACCTTTTTTAGTGGGAGGGCTGCATATGTGTGTTTGCCTGTGACCTTGTGCATGTAGGTACATATATGTATGAGGGTGCATGTGGTGGTGAAGGTCAGCCTTGATTATCACTGCTCAGCAACCATTCAGCTCTTATTGTGGTTTTCTTCATATGTGTGTATGATATGTGTATGTGTTTGGATGATGATGAGGTATATGCATATGTGTGTGCCCATCCATATGGATGTGTGAGTGTGGGCACATCTGTGCCATGTAACATGTGTGGAGGTCAGAAGACATTTATAGATCCTCACCTTCCACCTTCTTTGAGAAAATCTCTGTTGTTTGCTGCTGTGTATGACAGACTAGCTAGGCCATGAGCCTCAGGATATTCTCCTGCCCTTCACCCTCCATCTCACAGGAGCACTGGGATTATGGACACTGGGATTATGGACACATGCTGCCACATCCAACTTATTATGGGTTCTGGAGATTTGAACCTCGATCCTCACACTTACAGAATGTCACCCATTGAGCCATCTCCCTCAATATACCTTGTTTTTGTGAGACTGAGTATCTCACTGGGACCTGGGGCTCTTGGACACACTAAACTGGCCAGTGAGCTTCAGGGATCTGGCTGGCCCTGCCTCCACAGCACCTGAATTGTAAACATGTTCCACTATGCCTGGCTTTTTACATGGGTGCTGGGGATTGAGCTCAGGTCTTCATCAAGCATATACTGACTGAGATATTTCTCCAGCCCCTTCTAAAAAGTCAATGTTGAGCTTAGGCTTGATCTCGTTTTTCTAATAACACACCTCTAGAATTTCAGTGCTTCCATAATTCCCAGCATTTAGCTGATTCACAGCCTTTGATACTGAATGTAATTGTTGGCTTATGTATTTGGTCAACTACATTTTTGAAGATCTTAGAGGTCTGGGCCTCTCTGTGCTCTCTCTGTGTCTCCAATATCCAGCACAGATGCAAAGACATTCAGTGTCTATCGTAGGAATACTAAGTACATAAGTTGAAGGCTAATAATCGTACATTATTTGTAGTAGAACACTCCAAAATGTTAGGCAGAGCATGTTACCACCTCACTGACATACTCTAGAGTGGACCTTGACTTCTAGCTGGGACACCAGTACTTTAAGTATAACACATTCCAAACCCCACTTGCTCCATTTTATCTCTACCTACATGTCAAACTCATTTACTGTCCTAACAGCTGAAGTTGCCTTTTGCAGCCAATTGGAATCATCTTTACTTCTGTCTCTTCTTTATCCCTGGTGTTTCCTTCCTCACATTATTTCTTTACCTTTACACCCTGATCTCCTTCCTCATACTCTAAACTCCTTCCTAGGCCCCAGTCAGACTCTCCCTGGTGCCTCTGCGGATCCTCATCTGTGGCATTATATATCACATATTCTGCTGACATTCTGTATAATCTGTGCCACAAGGTCATGAAGCTTTTAAAAGATGGAACTACTTCCATTAGAAGACAAAGCAGATTACTAGAAATACTTTTAAATTTTATTTACCTACTATCACTGTTGTGTGGGGGGGACTGTGTATGATGTATGTGTGTGTATGTATGTGTGTGATGAGTGCCACAAAACTGTCAGAGGACGACTTTCTGGAGTCAGTCCTCTCCTTCCAATCTGGGTTCTGGGGATTAAACTCAGGTCATCAGGCTTGCATGGCAAGTGTCTTTTCCAGGTGAGACATCTCATCATCCCGGAAAAATGTTTTTATGAAAGAAAAGAAGGCTGAAGAAACAAAACAAAACAAAATAATAAAATGCATCTGCTTCTAAAGCTGCAGAAATTGCTGGGCATAGGGGTAAGCACCTTTATTCCCAGCACTCAGGAGGCAGAGACAGGCAGGTCTCTATGAGATTGAAGCCAGCCTGGTCTGCATAACAAGTTCCAGGCCAGCTAGGGCTATAGAAACATCCTGTCTCAAAATAAACAAACAAAAACCATGCAGAAATTACAGAAAAAAATATAAAATGAAGAAATCCAGGGTAATATTATTTTATTTGGAAATTTCTTAGATTCTTTTGGGTATTTTATATCTTTTCACCCAGCTGTCATTCCCAGCCTCACCAACATGGGCACTCTCCTTGTCCATAATACAATTCACATATGTCTTCATCCTGCTGCAGAATGTGAACAGAGCTTTTAAAAAAGGAAATAGGTAGTGGGAGTTTTATCTTGTGTATGTGTAACATACCTATGTGTGTGTATGCACAATCATATGTGTGGGGCATATGTATATGTGAGTGCATGTGCACTAGTGTGCAGGTTCATGTGAAGCACAATGGTAATGCCAGGTGTCATCCTTGACAACTCTCTCTAGAGTCTCCCTCCAAACCCAGAACTTGCCTATGACTACTCTACCTAGCAAACATGTATTTAGTCTCTCAGCTTCCTAAATGCTGGGGTTCAGGCCATAGCCATGCCTGCCCAGTTTAACTGGGGTCTGGGGATCCAAATCTAGTCTGTGACAAGCACCCTATTCTCTGAGAAATCTCCCTATCCACCATATTTCTTCTTAAAGCTAGATCATCCTGATTTTAAAAAAATGACAAGATGGGAGATTGGGAGCCCTGTTCCATGTACAAAAAGATTATTTATAGACCTAAAGTTTACAGTTAAAATTTCTAAGGAAAATTAGCAGAAGCCATCATTAGCCCTTAGGCCACCAAGCAAATGATGAAAGTAAGAACTCTAAGAAAAGGACTCAGAATGTGGTGACCAGTAGAACAGGAAGTGGTTTAGAGGCACTGAACCTGCTCTTTGCTGATTACTGAAATTTGGGGGGGTGGGGGGCAGGGCGGTGACCAGGTGTTCTTCTTTTCCATAGGGAACCATACAAGAAGGCTTAAGTCTCTACAAATGTGGAATTCATAAAATACCTTCCTATTCTAAAGGTTATTTTTGCTCAGGGATGAAGTTGAACCCCTTGTCAGACACCAGAAAAGCTTGGAGACTCTGGGTCTCAGGTGGCTGCAGTGTAGCTCTGATTTTCTCACTATTAAACACTGAAAACACAATTTCCATCAATTATTTTAAATGCACTCCCCTACAGTGTCCATAAGCTGTCTCTGTGCCTCACCCAGATTCAGATTGTGTTGCCTGGATTCCCACAGGGTTCCCCCTTGGTAGAAACAATTTTTGTACAGACTTTATTCTTCAAATGCTTACAAACACGAAAAACTGGAATAATCTAAGAAACAGAGCATTCTTTCACACATCTTGTTTCCAAATCTTCAGAGATCATTCACTTGCGTTATCCAAGTAAAATTCTCTTCTCCCTTCTTATGAGCCTTGCACTGCAGCTGGAAGCCTCTGAGACAAAAAAAAAAACTTTAAGTGGCCTCGATTTATAGAGGCAGGACCAGAACAGAGCCAGATTGCCAAGGACTCTCTTCTAAAGCAGTATCATGATGGCTCCATTTCTGGTATCAGCTTTGGAAAACGAAGGTTATTTGGGAAGGAAAGGTGTTCATCCATGCCAGATTCATGGGGTGTGTCCAAGAGGCATCATCATTTCAGAACAGCGGCAGAATAGAAATATCTATTTCATGTAGTCCAGCCTGTTGGCTCTCCCCTCAGAGCACAGAGCTGTAAATCTCGACAGCCAAACCACTTTGTTCCACAGAAATCTACTACAAAGCAAACGTACTATTTTCATGCTTTTCTACCTTATTTTTTTCTTGGGATTGAGTTGAATAGAGAGCATGGCCGTTGTAGGACAGCTGAACACTTACTTTCAGAAAGGGAAGGAAGCTCTGGGATTTGGAGCTCCTCCTCTTCCTGTGGCTCTTCTCTAAAGTAGTTCTCAGGCTCTAGAAGAAACGCTGGTTTATTTACTTCAGGCGGCTCTTCCAGGGCTCTGAGGCTTAGTGACCTAAATGTGCCTTCGAACAGCAAGTTTTAGGGAAGGAAGGGATGAAAAGACCAATGACATTAATTCCTTGGAAGGGGCTAGTACATTTCCAAATTCACTTTTTAAAAATTCTGCCTTCCTGTTACTCCACGGGTACAGCTGTAGTACCAGCACACCCTTTAAACATGGCTGCTCAAAAGAAATCCAGTGTCCTCTCTGTTCAAATGGACCCATGCAAGCTTTCATTTATTCAGCATTTTGTGTCTTTTTTCCTACTTTCCTTTGAAGATGAGTCTTCTGCAGTTTTGGAAAAGCTTCAGTTTCTCTTTTATCTACAAGAAAAGTGTATCCTTTGTGAAACTGAATCATTTTTTTCCAGTGTTTATTTAACAAAACATCCAAAATTTTGAATTGGCAGGTGCTTTTTCATTCCATTATAAGATAAGCCGGAGCAAAGCTGTTATATTTACTATGCATGCATGAAATTAAAGGGGATCTATGCTAAAAATTCATTAAAATCAAATTTTTGAACAAAGTAAAAAGAGTTTTTGCTTCTTGTAACAAGTAGGGAATGGTATAGAATTCAATACATGCTAATATCAATATATGATTTTCTGTTATTTGGCTGTTAGCCCTGAGGAGGCGGGAACAGTGCTGATTCTGTCGCATTGCCTCAGCACCATGGAAGAGCTCCATACTGTGCACCTGCTCTAGAACAAGTCATGTGTTGTGTCCACGCGTCCTCAAACCTCAGCAGGCATCAGAATCACCTGGAGAGCTATGAAAATATGGGCCACTGTGTACCTCTGACTTCAAATTTGCTATGGTAGAAAAAGAAGATGACGGTTCTAGAATTTACATTTTAATGTGTTGTATGATGCTGATGGTGCTAGACCAGTAACCACTCTAAGAATCAATGTGCCAAGTCAAGCAATTGTCCCATTTGCAAGGTTTCCTTACAAGCCAAGCAGTCATCAACATCTGTAAGTGTTCATTATAGGCTTAAGGCTGATGAGGAAGCTGAGGGGCCCCACAGATAACTTTCCTGAGTTTAAGCAACTGGTGAACTGCACACTATTTACCAGCTACAAGTATGCTTAACTTGCAAATTCCTGCTGCAAAATAATAATAGTAGTAAGCCCCTGGTTAAAGTGCTTTACATATAATATTCCATGGAAGCTTTACAGAAAATAGTCTAAGGAATGGATCTGTTTATAAATGTACATTATCAACAAATTACTATGTACTATTTGACAGTAGTTTCACCCCAAATCCTAAAATCAACATATATACTCTGTGGAAGTTCAACCATTGAACATGAATTTAAGAAAATTTGCTAATGAATAGATAGCTTCATTCACTTATGGAGCTTCAGGAATAATCTTCATCTATGTTTCAAAAAATATGCTTCATATGATAATAATTCCTTTGCCTCTATTATTATCACTACTATTTTGAAATGTGGTCTTCCTATATTGCCCAGCATGCTTCAAATTCTTGAGCTCAAATGACTCAGCTTAGCTTAGCTAATGCTGAAGCTACAGACACTCCTGGTTTTCAGTGACACATTTTTTTTTTGGTCATCCAAAAACTAGATTAGTATCTTGTTCAGGTGGCTTTGGGATTCCTGGAGGCAAAAATAGTTTTCATTCATCTGTATATTTTGTTTTTTCATTTTGTATTTAAAACTTTTGATTGACACATAAAAAGTGTATTATATTATGGGCTGGAGAGATGGCTCAGTGGTTAAGAGCGCTGGTTGCTTTTGCAGAAGACCCAGGTTAGAGTTCCAGCCCCCACATGGTGGCTAACAACTGTTCCTGACTCCAGCGCTAAGGAATTCAATACCTTCTTCTGATCTTCACAGGCATTGCATGACACGGGTGCACCTACCTACAAGTAGGCAATACACTCATACACATAAAATAAAAATAATAAATAAAAATCTTTAAAAGTATATTATATCATAGTATATAATATTGGGTGTCATCTGATGTTTTGAAACATTTATACATTGTGTAATGTCTAAATCAAGTTAAACCTAAACCTATCTTCTCATATACTTATCATGCTTATGGTGAAAATGCTCCATAGTTACCCTACTATGCAACAGCCATTAGAACCTCTGGTATTTCTCTCGCTGCTTGTTGGTACCCATTGGTCAACATTTCCCTATTCCTCCTGTCCCCTAATCTCCCAGCTTCGGGCAAACTACCATGCTTCTCTCAATTTCTAGGACACCAACATTTTTAGATTCCACACGTAAGTGTTGTGATGGATAACTTTTGTCATCAGCTTGCCCAGATTTAGAATCACCTAGAGGACTCCCCTCTGGGAGGGTCCTTGGAAGTGTTCCTTGACAGTTTTAAGTGAGAAAGGAAATCTAACCCTGAAAATAGGTGGTACCATTCCATAGGCTAAGATGCCAGGTTTAATAAAAAGGGTAAAATGAGCAGTCAAGTAGAGCTCCAGCACTGGTCTCCCTCTGCTTCCTGCGTGTGGACACAGCGTGAGCAGATGCCTCAGGCTCCTACTGCCTTGCCTTTCCCTCCATGGCAGGCTGCGCCTTCCAAAATAAATCCTTCCGTGAGTTGCTGATCTCAGGCATTTTGTCACAGCCACAAGAAAAATAACCAGTACAAATGGCATCATGTAATACTTCTTTATATTTATTTTTATTTTATGTGTTTGAGTATTTTGTCTGCATGAATATAAGTGTACCACATGTATACAATGCCTGCAGACATCAGAAAAGGGTGTGGGATCCCCTAGAACTGTTTTGGATGGTTCTTAACCACAATGTGGGTGCTAGGAACTGAACCTGGGTCCTTTGCAAGAGCAGTCAAAACTTTTAACTGCTGAGCCATCTTCTCCAGTCCCTAATTTTATTGCTCTCTTACTTGTTTCATATAATATGACCTCCAGGTACATCTATGCTGTTATCTTAATTTCTTTTTTATTTTGTTTAATTTTTATTTACTATTAATGTATATATTGGGGGATTGTGGAGGGGGCACACATGGGGCACACATGTGGAGAACAGAAGGCAACTTTCAGGAGTCAGTTCTCTCCTTCCACCATGGGTTCTGGAAAATAAACTTAAGTGATCAGGCTTGCAAGTACTTTTATCCATTGAGTCATATCACTGGCCCTATAGAAATTTTTTTAGCAGTTATGGAAAAGTACTAAGATTCTGGTGCTATCTTTATTTTGGGAACTACAGTTTCGAGTTTGGACCTTGCAGTTATGTAAAATATGCAGGGAACCTTGGCTAAGTCATTTAATGTCCCCAAACCTCATCTTCTTCCATCATCAAATGGAAATCACAGAACTGCACATTGTATTCTTCAAGAAAAAAAAAACATTCCTGTGAGACAGTAGAGCTCTTTCTTCTATTCAATCAGTCTGTGAAATGACATTTGAAAATATGCCAGTAGCAGTTACTTACTAGCTGACTTTTGTATCATTTCACCATAGCAAGATTTGTGTGTTCTTTTCTTGTAGCTATTTCTCTCCTTATATTTCATACCTAGATTTATTTCTTCTGACGATCTGACACTAGAAGAGAACAATGCAAGAGGAAATAAAATATTGGTCATAAGTCTGGACAAATACTTTTTATCTTTGATCAACCCATATCTTACTCTTACAAAAAAAGCATTTCTGTTCCTGTGTTCATGAGCGGTGACATTTGATTATACCAAACCAAACCTTTTACTAAAATGCCTGTTACCCAGTGACAGCAAATAAGAGTCTAAGCCAGAGAGGACCTGACTGTAGCCAAGGAAAGACTGATCCCATGGCTAAGAAGGTCAGGGAGAAATCTAAAGAAAGAAAATTTCACTGAAACACATCCACACTTCCCTGCCCTGTGTTTAAGTGACATGAGTCACAAGGAGTGAGCACTGGTGCTGTGTGTCAGAGCTTTTTAGCCCGCAGATCTTCCCTTAGAATTTCCAAAATCCAAAGCCGTTCAGTATTTTTAAGATTACCATGAGTCTATAAGAAAGCTTTAGATGAGCTAGAATTCAGAAAGAAGTCTTATATCAATGAAACATAGGGTAAGGAATCATTTTGTACCTTTATACATTTCTGTCAGAGAAGAGAAAATGATCTCAGACACTTAACACTTATTATCATAGTGTCAACCTTAACAGCAATGGCTCTGTTGCCAAAATTCATCACATATGTAGGGTGCACCGGACCTGGAATATACGTACCCTCCCCAAATCACACAGAGCCGTTGGAACTTGCCAGCCTTCTCCTGAGTTCCTTCTCTTGCATCCTCCTAGCCTTCGTAGTCACTACTCTCTCCCCTGTTCACTTTTATTCCAAGTTTGGTACAGATTTTGTAACTGAAGAGCATTGAGTCAGTTTTTAGATCCTCAGTCTCAGTTTTCTTTCTTTATAATGATACGCCATAGTTTTCTTTTTCTTTCTTTTTTTTCTTTTTTGTCTTTTTGAGACAGGGTCTCCCTGTAGCCCCAGCTGGCCTGAAACTCACTTTGTAGACAAGGGTGGCCTCGAACTCACAGAGATCTGCCTGCCTCTGCCTCCTGAGTGCTGGGATTACAGGCGTGCACCACCACACCCAGCCATAGTTTTCTTTCTTACTTTATTTTTATGTGTATGTTTTTCTGTTTGTGTTCAGATATGTGCTGTGATCACAGGGGCCAGAAGATAGTATTGGATCACCTGGAGCTGGAGGTACAGGTAATTGTGAGCTTCCAGATGTGAGCACTGGGAATCAAATGCTGGTCCTCTGGAAAAATAGCGAGTGGTATTAGTGACTGAACCATCTGCCTAACCCTCTTTTGGTTTTGAACAGGGTCCAGTGGATAAAAAGTTTGCTCCACTCAAAATATGAATAAAAGTAAAGTTGAAGCTGAGTGTCATTTTAAGGTTAATTTCTGGTGCTATTTATGTAGCTTTAAGAGTTTATTGACTGATTTTTTAAAAATGTTTTAAATGTATGTATTTTGCTGCATGTATATACATGTATGTGTGCATACAATGTGGTAAAGGTACCATATTCCCTGGAGCTGGAGTTACACACATTTATTAGCTGCCATATGGGTGCTGGGAACCAAACCCAGATCCGTTATAAAAGCAGCCAATGCTCTTAACCACTGAGCCATCTCTGCAGACCCTTGGTGTTAATAGTGTAAATTTCTGTAATGTCAAAATTCTCTGCGGAGTGTCAGGATTCATGGTGAACAGGCAGCAGCCACTCCAACCCAGCAGTAGCCAGTGGGGGTCCTGACTACCCCTTCAGGGGTCAGGGGTCAGGCAGTAGGTACACCCAGGGAGTCCACTTTGCCACAACCCTGTGCACCCAGCTTGCTGGGGGCAGGTTTCTTCAGGTGGCCACCACACCACACAACCATGGACAGCCCAGCCTTCGTCACTCAAGTGACCAATCCCAAGGAGGATGAGGACCACCAGGCTCAGGCAAGAAAGGACTTGGCAAGAAAGAAAATAACTAGAGAACCAAGATGGCAGCAGGAACTGGAATAATGAAGGTTGTGGTGGTGGTAGCTCTCGGCAAATCGTGACTCTAGGACTCTCCCTGGACATACCAGAAGATGTGAAAACAGCAGGCACCAAAAGATCAACCATATCCTTGACCATGAGAAAGAAATCACTTGATCCATCTGTCTTCTTGGGCAAAAGGAAAAAGTGGTTTGCTCCAATGTTGATGCTTCTCTCATGAGAAATTCAAATCATCAAGTAACTGTTATCTACATTTGATGCACAGAAACCAAGATATTCTTTGCAAAACACAAGTATAATCATGTGGACAGAGTGATGGAGACAGGAAAATAGTAGGAACCAGCGTAATTGAAATTATGGACCTGTGCCCTACAGAAAATTTAAGATACCAAATTGACCTTCTAGAGATAAAAATCACAGTCTTGTAAGATAAAACATTTTTAAAGTTCTTTAATAAGTAAACTAATATAACTCTCAAAGTTAAAATATGTAATTGTACTTTAGAATGTAAATTTGCAATTCTGTGTCTCATAATTTTTTAGTATTATTTACCAACAAAATTATACTGTCAATCTTCAACAATACTGGGAAATTTCTCATTGTTGCTGTGATGTGAGTTTGGCATTCATTCCCTTCCAAATTCTCCAACCTATACAAAGTTTTCCAAAGTAATCATGTTATTTTTAAAAAAAAAGCAATGCTAATAAAAACATATTGTGAAAATTTCTGAATCCTCAGCCTCCTGTGGTCTATAACAGGCTCTCACATTTTTCTTATTGATAATGACCCTTGACAGTTTTCAGGAGAACTTGTCAGGCTTTTAGTAGACTAACACTCAAATTTGTCTGGTTACACTGGAGTTATTGGTTGTCGGGAGGAAGGTAAGGAGGATAAAGTGCTGTCATCATCACATCATTCTGTCTCCTGACTGTGGATGTTAACCTTGATCACCTTGTCAAGTTCATAGTAATGACAGCTTAAAATGCCCATTGTAATTTATTTTTTCATTAGTAGCAAATTACCAAACAGCCCACACTTTAGAGGCAATGAGGAGAAAAGTTAAGCACTAGTTCTTTGGTATTCATATACAGTCCATTTGGAACCATAGATTTCTTTAGGGGACTTGTGACCCAGAGGATGTTCCTCTGACCCTATGATGACAAGCCATGGACCCACCTCCTTCCCATGCTCTGCAAAGAAGCCACTCCCCTTCCCACTTCCAGCCAATCCATTGACCATAGCTGCTTGCAGGGGAGGCGCTAAGGGTATAAAAGCTGGGAAAACCACAAGGCTGGTCCCTCGCCGCCATTTTGTAAGGCTGTCTGGAACCACTGGATTTATGCCTGGGTGTGGACTTTTGAACACAGCAGTGGATGGGGGTGTGCCTGCTTGTCTGTAAGTAAACCTGCAAGCCAAGATCAGTTAGCAAGTCCAATAAACTCATTAAAATTCTTCAAACCGGGGTTTGGAGAATTTTTTCTTCTGGTTGTAGCACGGACCTTGTGGGGAGGGGATTGGATGTAACATGCACCTCCCAGCAGTGAATTTGACTTATAAGAGTTTTGCCATCTGTAAATAAGACTTAGGGTAGGTTGTCAGCCCCAGTGCTGAATTGGTTCCCTCAGAATAGGCAATCTCCTATAAAAAGTATCACATTATTGGCGCTGGAGAGCTGGCTCAATGCAGAGGACCTGAGTTTGGCTCCCTCCACCCACATTAGGTGGGTCACAACCGCTTGTAATCAGCTACAGGGGAACCCACACCTTGGGCATCCACAGGAACCTGTGCTCACAAGCACATACACACATACACACCTATACATAATTAAAAGTAATAAAAGTAAATCATTTAAATATTGCATATTATTTAGCCACTGTCTTGACTTCACAGACAATAATGAGGGTTTTGATGTAGTAAGGGAATCTGTAACTCAAGTTGGTGGCAAATGCAGGGAAGGAGTGCTGTTATGTAGATAAGTCTTGTAACTATGGGAACAATCATACATCTTTGCTGGAAAACTGTAGACAAGTCGATGTGCAAAAGCTTGAGAAGATGGAAGGTCTCTTGTCTGTGTAGTTAACACCAGACCTGGACTTTCCCTAAAGCATACTGAGCTCTTCCCCCTGTTGGAGCATGTACCTCCTGCTGCATCATCCAGTGGAATTAGGTAT